GGTACTGGGAATTGAACTTGGGTCCTTGGGCTTGTGAGGCAGGCAGCAGAACTACTGAGGCAAATCCCTGGCTGATCTTGTGACTCTTAATTGAAGCACATAATAGTTTTAAGTAATTATAAATTTGACTTAAAATGGCCTGCTGATAGAGAGCAAGTAATTATAATCAGATTACAAAAATGCACTATTTTGGGGGTATGAATTAAAATTATAATTTTAATCTTGAGATCTTTTAAAATATAGTTTGTTTGCCAAAAGAATTAACTGTTTATAATAAATTAGTTAAAATATGCTGCTAAACGTAAGCCATGACTTATTTCATTGAATATTTTTTTAGACCTAAAATTTACTGCTAAACCATTGAAAATGCTCTGTTATTCAAAGTTTTAATGGTACAGATTACTTGTAGCAGGAGTAGCTAATCATATAAGTAGAAAGGAAGGAGCCCTTATAAAAATGCACCTGAACAGTGATCATAGCCATCAAAACCTGTTAACTGGGACTGTTATTTTTTTTATTGGTTCATGTTTGCGGTATATAATGTTTCCATTTCTTGTATAGAGTTGATACATATACATAAGTACATAATTCTTTTTTAATTCACTATCCCCTTCCTACTCTCTCCATCTCTTTATCCCTGTCATTTGAGAATGATCTTTCTATTTCCTATTATTTATCTTTTCTTTTGCTCTTTATTTATAAATTCTCATTTAAGAGAAACCATGCAATATTTAAGCTCATGAGTCTGATTTATCTCATTTAACACTGTGGTCTCATAGTGCACCCGTTTTCCAATAAATGACTCAAGTTTCTCTTTATGGCAGAGTAGTTCTCCATTGTGTCTAAAAACTACATTTTCTTTATCCATGCATCTGTTGATGGCTCAGAAAGACAATGGTATTATTTTAAAGATACACTTGAAATAATGGAAAGAGGAAGGCATTATAACATATTTTTAGAAAATGAAGTTTTAGTAAATTTGGAAAGCCAATGGAAAAGATCTGAAGCCATGTTCAGAAAAACATCTGAAAGAATGGACTACTTCTACAATGACATTATAAGCCCACAAAACCAGTAGAACTCTCAGCTGATCACTGATTTTCTTGTTTCTGAGTAAGAATAACCTATAAGCATAGAGAACTAGCTTTCAAAAATATAAAATTGCTGAAGCATTCTTTGAGTCAACACGACTTCTAAAATTTATAATTTTAGGATAGGGAAAAGATAAGTTCATCTGTCTTTCTGTTTTAAAGACATCGTACCTGTCTGATTTTATAGGTGAGGAGGATATGAGGGGAAACTAAGAATCTAAAGGACATGGCTGAACTTTAATAGTTATTGTCAGGTTAGATGTAACTATCATGGTTTTTCAAAATACTGTTTCTATAGTCCATATTTTCATTATATGTCCAGTATGCCCCTCCCCCCATGTCAGTGGTGCTGGGGATTGAACCCAGGATCTCACATATGCTAAGCACATGCTCTATTATGCTACATCCCCAGTCCTTTTTCTATTTTTAAACAATAATTTTGCCTTGAATTTTCTTTAATTTTTAATTAGGAAGACAAGCAATTTCTTAGAAATTAGTTATTATGATGCCTGTGACTTGTTGAAAAGATAATTGAATCAAGTATGTGATGAAGGTAGAATAGCACATAAGCAAAAAAAAAAAATCCATGAGAAGGCTATAGTTAGTGTGCTGTTATCTAATAGAATTTGTTAGTAGCATGACATATCTTAGCTGGGTGCCTTTTACTGGTTGCTTTGTAATTTCTGGAAAGGCGATTTGTAAAGAATAATCTGAGGTCTTTTAACATATGATAAATTTCAAATTTTGAGTTTTTTCCAGTAGGGAATCAAACTCTTCCCTGAAACAGACTTTTTGAAAAAAGATGAAATGTATTCCAGTAAACAAAATCCCAAATTTTTCATGTTTCCCAAGGATTTTTGGTGTCTAGTATGAATTGTGATGTCTGTCTAGTATAATTTGTGATGTCTAGTATAAATTTCTCCATTGAATACTTGGAATTAAGTATTGGAAACTAGCTGGCTGTACTGTTTCTGTTTCCTTGATGAAATATTAAAGCCCTTAGTAATTACCATTAATTAACCTTGTGAATTACTCTTATAGTTATTTAATCCAAGGCTAACTTTCTTTTATCACCATACACATTTCTTAACCATTTTCCTCCTTCTCTTTTTCTTCCCTGCATTTTCCCCATCTTTTCCATTAGTAGAGGTATGAAATAATTTTAATATAAACACACATAAGAAACGGTCAAATCTGCTTTAAAAATGAGTATTCCAAAATCCAATAGATCATTTTATAATGCAGACTTAGCAGCAGCAGCACCAGCTGCTGCAGCAGCAGCTTTCTTCTCCCTTACCCTATCTCTGAGGAAGAAAAACATTTTTTTAAAGAGAAGAATTCTTTAAACAGATACAGAGTAGAAGAATAATATTGCTTGCTCATCATGGGGGGGCGCTGTGTGAGACACAAAGGACGGAAGGAACTGAGGGACTGGATGCTTCGGGTGACAGTTTGATGGTTTAAAGGTGTGAGACTCACACTACTTTGGGGATACTGGAAAATAAGCCAATCCACCTGATTTTAATAAGTTGCGCTATGATAAGGCTTAGATACCACCACCTCCAGTACCTGTGCTCACATCTTACATGAGTTAAAGGTGAAATTACCATCTACTTACATGCCTTTAAATGTGATTCTGATTAGAGTGTGGGCTAGGAATATGATTTTATGAGTATAAGATTGCTTGAGTTATATTTAATTAAAACAGGAATTGAAGCACCAAAATGTTTGCCTTTGATTTTCTGTTGCCTTTTTTTTTACATCTGACTGTTCGAGTAAATGTTAAGATATTATTTTCACTGAGACAAATTATATAGTATGCTACTTTTAATGAGAGGTTTTTTTTTTTGGTCCTGGGGGTTGAACTCAGGACCTTGCACTTTCAAGTCAGGCACGGTGCCACTGAGGTAAATCCCCAGCCCAGTCTGAGTATTTTATGTATACTTTCTGTGTATATGTGTGTATATAAAAATGTCTGTATATATGCATTTAATATAGTAAGAAATAAGGGAAGAATGAGTCATAAACAAAGAATTCTATAAAGTGATTATACCATCTTAAATCCCTCCACAGTACATGAGAGTTAAATTGCCCCTTATCTGATTTATTTGGTGGTGTTAATCCTTTGTAATTTAGTACTCTGAGTGTGAAATGTTATTTTTGGTGGTTTTAATTTGCATTAGATTATTTTAACTATTTTTTGCATAACTGTTTGGCATTCTATTCTGCTTTGTAAAGTATATACTCTTTTTTTCCCCCTGAGAATTATTAGTCTTTTACTTTGCACATGTAGGCATTTATATATATTTTTGCTATATCTTTTTCAGATGACTATTCTCTTGCTTATGATAGTGACAAAATAGTACATACAAATATTAATACGTTTAGTATTTTTAAGCCATTGACAATTTTAGAAGGAAAGTAATATTTAAAATACATTTACTTTTAAAATTTAGAACAAAAATTGCATTCTGCTATTTTGTTTTTTATTTCAGGTGCAGTTAAAAACTAACATTTCCAGTCAGTATGTAATTCGGATGCAACCAACCAATAGGTGCCTTTCTACACTGGAGTGTGCAGCTATTGCTCTTTCCATCTTAGAGAAAAACAATTACATACAGGAGGTATGTGGAAAATCATAGTTTTTTTCTTTTTTCTTTCTTTTTTTTTTTGGTACCAGGGATTGAACTCGGGTCCTTGTGCTTGTAAGGCAAGCCACCGAACCGCTGAGCTAAATCCCTAGCTATAGTTTTTTTCAAGAAGTTTGTTTAGGTTTCACTTGGAAAATTTAGACACGCTTATCTTGTTAAATTTGTACCTCAAGTGACAAGTAGAATGTATCAGATAAAAATGTACGTACTTTGTACCCCTCTTTTTCCCTCTGATGTTTTTCTGTTACCTTAGCATTCCAGATTGCATTATTTAAATATTCATACTAAGCTGTGCAAACAGCATTTGTAATATGCTAAATTGCATTTAAGTAGCATGACACCAAATAGAGTTTTTTGGTTATACTTTTCTTTTAGTATTTTTTATTGTTTTTAGTAGTTTTCATTCTCTTGTGTTCAACTTTTTTCTTTTTAATTAAGAGATCCATTTTATAGCAACTTTTTTTGCATTGATTCCTTTATTTGAAGAGCTATATTAATGTTGTTTATCTTATTAAACTTGTGTAGCATATAAAAGACACTTTGAAAAAGAAACACCTACAGAATATGAAAAGGTCATAACCTACAATCATTTTTCTATTTACTTTTCATGGAAGTCTGATGATTGCATATGTAATTAATAATCATTCAGCAAAGAGTAATGTTTCAGTGAGCTTACTAAGGATCTTTTGGAGATTATAAAAAATTTTGCATTTATAACAGGAGAACAATAGTTAAATAAAATATTGAGTTTTAAATAATTAAAATATTTTAATAACTACAACTGAGAAGAAAAGTCAGAGCATAATAAACAGAACTAAATGAGATTTATAACTTCCCCTCCACAACATGTACCACAGAACACACAAGACAGACACATACCACAACACACATGAATAAAGTACTCTTTCCCTCTCTCATTATATATTATGGTTACTAGTGTAAGGCTTTGCCTAAGCCTTGATAGAAATTTCAATTAATATAAAAGTTCAGTTCAATATAATTGTGTTAGTTTCCAAGATATTAATCCTAAAGAAAATCAAAAGCTCTCAAGGGCAAGGACTGTTAGAAGAATGTCAGAGAAAGCATCAGATTTTCTTTCTAAGTTGCTTATTATTATAGATGGCAAAAGTTGGTTACCAGTTTATAATAAAAATTAGTTTAAGAGGTGAGCTCTCAACTCAGCTTATTCAGTATAGTTTCAATAAAAAATTAGCATGTTTCTGTATGAAACGCAATTACTGTCTGCTTTGGGGAGGAAAGGTATAATGTACATTTCCTCTCAATAACCTTTTATTGGGAGTATTCTAATAAAATTCTAGGGTGGCAGAGGAGAGCATTAAATTTTCATGGCTTCATTCTGTAGGCTTAGCATTGAACAACTTTGTTAGTCTTTTGATTCATTGTTTTCCTTTAATCTAGAGAACTTTTCAATCATCTAAAATTAGTGTGATATAAGTCATAGATCATAGCTCCCTGGATGTAACATGATATGGGCTTTAAAGAGATTTGAATTACAACTTCATTACTTGTTATCATCACCTTTTGCCAGTGGGAAGTTCATACAATCTATTTGTGCTTGTTTTTTACCTGAAATATACAAAAAATAGTTACTTCAGAAGGAATTGAGTAGCCAGGTGTGATAGTGCACACCTGTAAGTCCAGCTACTTGGCAGGCTGAGGTAGGAGGATTGCATGCTCAAGGCCAAGGCCAGCCTGGGCAAAGTAGCAAGACTGTCTCAAAATGAAAAGTAGCAAGACTATCTCAAAAAAATGAAAAGGTCTGGAGATGTAGCTCACAGGTAGAGCCCAACTAGGTTCAATCCCTACTACCACCAAAAAACAAACAAAAAAAGAATTAAGATAATGTGTGTTAAGAGTCACAGTTGTCAGTAGCACAGGCACTGTGTCAAACCTTTTCTCCTCCTTTGCCCCTCTTATTCTTGCCTATACATCAACAAAAGTTGTTTTGAAATAACCATTGTTAACTTTTATCAACAATTATTTTCTTAATAGTTATTTTATTTAGTTAAGCATGTTAACTACTGTAATATGTACCGTGACTTTTTATACTTTTGGAACCTTTAGCTTGGGGATCTTTTTCATTATGGGACCTTCTTGATGTAGGAAGTTTTACTTTATAAACTTTCAACAGTAACTGAGGGAGAAATTTTGAGCTGCACATAGCCCAGTGGCTTGGCTCTGCTCACCATCAAGGGCTGGTAGTAATGGTTCCTTGAAAACTTGCCTCTTTGTACATACAGATGAATTTGCGAAATACTGATTTTCCCCCGAAAAGTCATTTAGAAATAAACTTATTTTACAGGTAGAGGATTTTCTTTGTTATCCTAAGGCAATTTTTTTTCATATAGCTTCACATTGCCTCTGATGTGATGTTTTTTGTTTATGTAGAAACATTATTCCTTGTTATCAAGTATATGCCGAACACTTGGCAATGTACAGATGAAAAAATGAGGCAAGAAGAGGTTATGTTATTTACCTCAAAGTATGTATCTAGTAAGTCATATAGATAACATCAGTTAAGATAGGTTGGATTAGATTTAAAGTGGCACAACATAATAAAGGGCTATTCCTCTTTAATGTTGTCTGACAAGTGGGATTGCTCATTGTAGACATTAAGGGACCCAGCTTGGGGGCCAAACTATCTAGACACATCACTCTCTTTCGCAAAGGAAGAGGCACGGAAGGTGGTAAAGCCCAGAACATTTTTAAGGGTTCTGTGAAAAGGTGGCACACATTATTTGTGCTTGCATTTCATTAAGCAAAACAAGGTATATGGCCATACCTATCTTCAAAGAGTGATTAGAAATGCTCTGATCATTTGCTAAGGAGAACAGGCATTTCTCCTTAATTCTCATTTGTGAACTGCATTAGATTAAGAAATGTCCAATAAGATTCATAAAGCACACTCCTGGTTTTGAGGACTATGCATGTATGGGCCCTACCCAGTTACTCTCTGGTACTGTTCCCTACTGTGCTCTCTGGCCACTAAGTAAGTACCTTTGTCCTGTCATGCCTTTCTTCTGTAATATTTCTGCCTTGGAACAGCTGACTATGAACTAAATTTTCCCAAACAATGAGCTAAATTAAACCTTTCACAGTTCAGTCTGTCCACTCTGTTGCCTCTGTAAAGTAGTGTATAGTCATTTTTCCTTTTCCTTTCCTCTTTTTTTTTTAAAGAAATTATGAGTGTATCCTAAGGGGCTTTTCACAACAATACTGGATATAGCTTTTGCAAGATGTGTCTTTTTTCTTATTGGTATATATTGATAAGGAGTGTTTGAATGAAAACAGAGCCCTAATGGCAGTAATAAAGTCAAATGAGAGTTTCTTTTTCTCTTCTAAATTAGACATGCTGAGGTGGACAGTCTTGTGCTTGCAATGACATTTGGAAAGGACATTATGGGGTTCCTTCTTTCTGTCCATCACCTTTTGTTTTTATTGTCTAAGGGTCACTTGCTGCTTGCTCCACCACCAACAGTCATGTTCCAGGTAGGAAGAAGGAAGAAAATGCCTATGCCTGCTAAATCTGTCAGCTTTTACAGCATACCTTTGGTAGCCCCACCTGGTGGATAAATCACTCTGCTTTCATAAAGGAAGATGCAGGGCAGGTGGTGAAGGGACTTACTACCTTCAGTAGACTGTGTCATTTTATTAGTCAGTGTAATATTGCTAACTGGACAGATTACCACCTTCAATGAACTTTGGATTCTTTTAATAATAATGGATGTAGAGGAGCAACTATGAGTTTGTTATAGAAGAAAGCCCTTTCTACTACTTACAGTTATATATGTGGAAGGATGAATTTTCACTGGACATTTTGAGATTTTTGTAGTTAAATCTTTCAGTTTTTATCTTTTGTTTTGTTAACAATTTGTTCAATCATGCTTTTTTGCTGTTGTTACTTAAAAAATTTAGACCAGGAGTCTAAAAGTCCAAGGAGAGAATCAGACCTAAAATATGTTTTAAAAATTGGCAATTTTAAAAAATTTAAATAACTTCAGATAGAATATGTACAATAGTTGTATTATACCCTCCAACAGTCTTCATTAGCTTATTGGTTTCTTAGGTTCACATGTTTACGTTTCATGCTTGGCCCTATGGGTATTTGGATTTAGACAGATACTTATATGGTTAGACTGGTTTCGAATACCCTAAGACTTGGGCCTATAACTTGCATGTGTCCATAAACTAGTGTGAGAGAAGTAGTAAACCACTTGACAGTTGCTGCCATTGTTTGTCAAGTGCTAGTAAGATTGCATTAATTTGACTGACACTTAATTAGCTCATTGGATGTACTTATCATTATGTGTAATTATTTCTTTTGGCCTCCTTGCTACAGATTAAATTACTATAATGGCAACAATATTTCATGCTTTTGAATAAAATAAAAAATTTAGTTCAGACTTTATTGCCCATATAGAAAATTAGTGTTTGTGTTGCAGAAGATACTAGTAAATTACACACAGAGACACAGAAGTGGGTAAAATAGAAAAAGTTTACTTTGCCAGCAAGGGGTTGGCCTACACCAAAGGCTATGCCAAATGATTGACCCTGGTGTGGGTTACAACCTGTATTTTATGAGTCTTACAATCATGACCTCATTTTAGGTAATAAGACATTCTAGTTCCCACAGTTCCCATCATAAATCAAGGTTGCAAGACAGTTTCAATGTTAACCCAAATGTAGCATTTTCTTTCAGGATGTTTATCTTTAGCTATTCCAGCCCACAAGAGTGTGAGTAAGGTTAGGAAAGCAGGACTGGTGATATTCCTTTCATTTTAACACCTTTATAGTCATATGATTAACAGAAAGTTTTATGGCTCAGGGACTGTTATCTTAGTTTGAACATCTGGTCTCATCCTGGGATGCGGCTAAGCACCTCTGGCATTTGTTAATTTTATTTATTTACTTATTTTTTTGAGATAGGGTCTCACTGTGTAGTTGAGACTGACCTGGAACTCACTATCTAGCCCAGGCTGGTCTCGAACTCACAGCGATCCTCCTGCCTCAGCCTCCCAAGTGCTGGGATTACAGGCATGCGCCACCACACCTGACTAGCATTTGTTAATTTTTAAACAGGCTACATGCCTTTAAGTTTCAATGGTGAAACCTCTGGCGTTTTGTTAAACAAGCAAAGCAAAGCAAATTACAGAAGCAAAAGGCAGTGGTTATTCCATATTTTCTTTAACATTTTATAGGTTTCAAACTATTTACAAAAGTTCTCTCTATCATTTGTATCCTTTACTAAAATTCCTTAGTGGTAGGGAATTTATGAATTAAAAAATACTATTTATTTAGAAACAACTATGAAGTTGTTTAGATATCTCTTTCTTTTACACTTAAAAGCCAATAATAATGGAAAACACAATAATTTGTTTTGAAGGAAAAATATAAAATATTATGATCTGTTACAAATACTTTTTTTAGTGTCCTTTTTTTTTCTTTAACAGACCTTGCTTCGTCCTCTTCAAGCTTTATGCTCTTTCCAACTTCAACATGGTGCTCAAATTCGTCTCAGCAAGGAATATCTTCTGAAAAATGGATTATATCCTAAGCCAATGCCAAAGAACAAACGCAAACTCAGGAAAATGGAGCTCTTAATGAATAGTGTTAAAATTTAGTACAGTTCCTATGGTGCTAATTTACCTGTTTTAGCTGAAAATACTACATTAAGTTTTCATCAAGTTTAAGTTGTGGGCTTTTGACTTTCTGAAGAATAATGAGGGTTCCTATTAATCTTGTTGAGAAGAAGGAAGTAAACCAAATAGCCATAAATAGAAAACTAAAACTCTGACTCAGTAAAAAGAAATATTTCATACTGTATTTATTTTTAAAAACATGCCTTTAATACATTATTTTCTAATCCATAATTTAGAATATAATTAGTTGCTGAGCTAGGTAAGAAGACCTCATATATAAAATGAAAAGACATTATGTCTGATTTGAGCAGTATTGTTTCTTTTAATGAGTGTGGATTGTAGACTAATAGGGTACATCCTACATCAATTTGTGACCTTGTACATGAATTTTAGAGTGTGAAGTAAGTAGCAAAAGAAAATAATGATCATCAAACAGTTTAGATTGAATTATTTGTTTCATAAAATAGTATAAAGAAATAAAGAATAAGTATTCTTTAGGTATTAAACTTGAACTCAACTAATTTATTTTCATTTTCTGTTAATTGCCTGAGTATTTCAGAGAGAAGCATGTTATTTTGAAATAGTATCCATTTTCATTTGAAATCACTCTGGATAAGTTCTAATTTTTCAGTGTTAATTGAACAGATTTTGTGACTGTAGTAAATTGATTTTTTTTAAGTTTCCGTATGGAAATAACTGAAGTAGATTAGACTAAAATACAGTTATTATTTTGAGAACACATTTCTGTAGCTAGAGCTATTTAAATCTTTTTTTTTATGGGCAAAACCCTTCAGTTTGAAAGATCAAATTTCCATACACTCACTGGGAAAATATTTACTGGGATTTTGTATGCAGTGTATATTTATTATATACAAGTTGAATCTGTTACATTTAGGTACATATTTTACCAAGAAGAAGAAATATGTTTTGGTCTTTATGACTTCTGGAGTTTCTTGTCTCTAGTGTTAGGTTGGAAGAAAGCTAAACATGAAGTTTAATGGTAAGCTTGAGAAATATTGTTTGTTGGGGCTGGGATGTAGCTCAGTGGTGCTGTGCCTACCTGGCAAGTGCAGAGTCCTAAATTCAATCCCCAGTACCAAAAAATGTTTCCCCCATTAAGTTTATTGGTACATTTAAAGCAAACAATACTGTTACATTTATCGTTGGGATCTTGTACCTTTACATGTCTTGATTCTTTTTTTTTCCCCATACCCTTGCCCTCTCTTAACCCCCTTCACCCTTCCTTATTTACAAAGACTTTGTTTCCATTTTTTCCTTTTTTCACATTTTTTTCTTTTCCCTTGTTTTCTTTCCCCTCCTCTTATACCCAAATTTTAAAAAAATATTGTTTGTGAAAAGGAGGCAGGGTACGTGAACATGCATTAGTAGTGGTTTCTGACAATTTTCATGTTTATTTATTTGTTTCTTTTTGGCCTAGATTAATCCCTCATTAGACCCTATAATGATGGTTGCAATTAGAATGTTTATGTGTATTCAGGGAAACTATACAGAAAATATTTAAATATACTAAACAAAGTTAGATTTCTGTCTTTCATTGTTGACTCATTTTTGGATTTAACAGATGAGTTGGTTTGTAATCTGAAATATCTAATGTCAAATGATTATTTGGTGTAATAAAATGAGACAGTATGTTATGCTTTCTTAAGTGGATTAAAGACATCTTGCAATAATTTTATGTTAAAATTAAACTTCACAAATTTTTGCTTTTATTTCAAAGCCTCAATTTGTCTTGCATTTTAAAGAATAACTTCTGTCTTTTGAATACATTTTAGAGTATTTTTGGTACTGGGGATCAAACTCAGGTCCTTGCGCTTGTGAGGCAGGCGGCAGAACCACTGAGCTAAACCCCCAGCCTCATTTTAGAGTATTTTTGAACACTTAAAAAGTTTAAGATTCATTGTTTTGGGAAATTTATGAAATTTTCTTTAAGAAAACATGTATTTCCAAATTATTTTATGTTTAACTTATTTGTACTGACCTATTAATAGGTGATTCCATTTAATCTTTTCTGGTATACAATGCTTTTCTAGTCACTTCTTTTTAAATATATTATGATTAACATTTGTAGTTATTAAATGTTCTCATATAATATGTGAATATTTTTACTAAAAATTTAATCTCGTTTTAAATTATTATTTTTCTGTCATAGTATATATTTGGCTTTGAAATTCAGGTGCTTTTATCTTTGCTTGATTTTTCCTGGACTAGCATCAGGTGTTTTGCTTTGTAGCCGATAGTAGGCTTGCATATATATTCTTAACTCTACTTTGTTCTATTATAAATTGTTTGAGGAGTTACTTGAATTATGTGAACTCAGAGAATAGTTATTTCTGCTTACATAAGTTAATCACATCTTTAGTTAGATTCTTCATGGTAGATTTAAAAATCACTGGGTAACTTAAATACTGTATTTTGAGAGTTTCTCACACATATAATTAATACAGAATTGAGAACTTCAGTATACAAATACTGCATATACAGGCTGCATAGTAACTTTCTGTAGCTTGGGTTACAATATATCTTGTGTTGACTTTGAGAGTTATAGTAGGGGAAATTTTTCTTCCTGAACTTTATGGCTCCAAACACAGCTTTCTTTAGCCATGAGCACCATATTTTAGGGTTTGTTTTAAAGATTTTGTGAGAAAAAAGCTCCTTACTACCATTGTTAGTGAATTATACAGAAGACCTCTTCTGTATAACTTCTTTTAGTTTCTTCATGAGATTTGCTGCATTTCAGGGAGGTAAATTGTTGAGCCTTGGTTGCAATTATTATTGCTATAAAGTAACTTTTATTGTTGCTACAAGTAAACATTTAGGTCAGACCACTGAACTCAAAAGTTTTACCTAATCATATTTAATATGTAGATTTATTCATTTTAAAAAGGTGTTAAAAGATATTTGTGTAAATAATGCTGTGTTTTAGATGTAGATTTTACATTTAATTATATACTATAAATAGGCTTATTTTAGTGTGAATCACTGCCTCTAATTCAACCTAAATTTTTAGTTGCTGGATTGATTTAAAGCACATTTTCTCTCTTTCACTTTCTCTTTCCCAGCCTTCTCCTCTTTCTCTCATCACCTTCATTGTCCCTTTTCTCTCTTTTTTTTTTACCATGCTTATCCTGTGTGTTACCTCTTTTTATGAAGTGCCCATGTATCCTTGCATAAGCATTTTTCTTTGCAGCATCCTATAATGATCTAAAATTACAACTTTATACTTAAAATGTGTGCAGGAATCAGGCTGTAATCCAGGAATTTTTACATCATGATGACAATTTGAGTCCTGTCTTAGTCCATTCAAACTGCTGCAACAGAATGCCATAACTGAGTGGCTTATAAGCTGCAGAATATTATTTTGCAGATTTCTGGAGCCTGGGAAGTTCTAAGATCACTGTGCCACCAGATTATTGGTGCAGGCTTGCTCTCTGGCTCCCAAGTTGTACGTGCTATTTGTGTCCTCACTAGGTAGATAGGGTGAGTGGTTCTGCCTCACTCAGGGCCACACTGCCTAATGCCCTCATCTGGGGGTGAGAATCTCAACCCAGGGATTGGAGACAGCAAACATTCAAACCACAGTCCCTCCTTGTACTTTTAAAAAAGCACATTAGAATTTAGAATATATAAAGAACTAAAAAAAAAAAAAAAGTCAGATCTCCCCCCCAAAAAACATAGAGACTGAGTTAAAAAATGGGCATTGGAAATGAATAGACACTTCACAAATGAAGAAGTACAAGTGGTCAAAAATACATGAAAAATGTTCAGCATTACTGCCCATTGAGAAATGCAATGAAAACAACTGAGATTTTGTCTCCAGAAAGAATGGCTGTGAAAGAAATCAAACAATAATAAATGCTGGGGAGGCTGTAGGGAAAAAGGAACATTTCATCATTGCCAGTGGGAGTATAGACTGGCATATCCACTTTGGAAATCAGTGGAAATTCATAAACTAAAAATAAAAATTCTACTTGACCCAGCTATTCCCCTCCCAAGTATTTTCCTGAAAGAGTTAAAGACACCATATTACAGTGATACATACGCACCCATGTTTATTGCACCACAATTTGCAATAGCTAAATCTTGGAAACAACTGAAATGTCCACCAACAGATAAAGTAAATGTGGTATTTATACACAATAGGGTACTACTCAGCCGTAAAGAAGGATAAACTTGAGTCATTTGTAAGAAAATAGATGCACCTTGAAACCATAATGTTAAGTGAATCAGACATACAACTCAAATCTCATAGTTTCTCTTATATGAGAACCTTGATATATAAATTGCAAAATAAAGAATAGAAAGGAATAGTGAGATGGGTCTTTGGCATATGAGGAGGCAACCAAAGAATAGAGGGAGGAGGGAGGGAAAAGAGACTAAAAAAGGAGGGACTGGACATGGCACACATCTATAATCACATCATGCAGGGGGCTGAAGCAGGAGGATTGCTGTGAATTCGAGACAAGCCTGGTCTACATAGTTCAAAGCCAGTTTGAACCACATAGACCCTGTCTCAACAAACAAGCAAAACAAAGAACAAAACCACAAAAGGAGGAGATTGTGAAGTGCTATGTACATGTACCAAGTCCCTATGAAGCATGTGATCATGTACCACAGATACATTAAAAAATACACCATGGTTCCAAGAGGTGCAGGCGGGGAGGGAGGAGGGGAGATGAGGGAGTTAAAGGAGAATTGAGAAATTTTACATACATGTACCAATTCCTCATGAGGAATGGAATCACAATGTACTAAAAATGTACCAATAAAAAAAGCATCTTAGAGAAATAAGTTTATTAATCTTTAAGTTTTTAACAATTTTTCACTTGAACAAGAACCTTGAATTATTTTAAACATATTATTTTAAACATCCATTTAATGAATAATTTAAAAGTAGGGGGAAAGACTACTCATTCAAGGAATTCAGCATTCTGACTCCAAAATCAGAAAACTGTATAGGCAGGCCAATTTCTGTAATGAATATAGACACAAAATCTTAAAAGATATTGGCAAGTAGAACGCAAAAACTCAAATCATCACGAACAAGTAGGTTCTGTCCTAGGGAGACAAGGATAATTCTAATATGCAAGTCAATAAATGTAATACATTACAAATAAAAGCAAGGGCAAAAAATACATGACCATCTCAGATGCAGAAGAAGCTTTTCACAAAATCCAACAGCCATTCTTGATTAAAAACTCTTAAGAAAATGGGAATAGAAGACCTTTATCTCAGTGTGATAAAAAGACATGACAAATCTATGGCCAACAGCATAGTAAATGGGGAAAAACCTGAAAGCTTTTCCTCTACAATCAGGAATAAGATAGAGTGTCCTTTATTACCACTCTTATTCAATATAGTACTCAAAATATTAGCTAGGACAAGAGAAATGAGAAAGAAAAAAAATATA